CATATCAACATGTCAAACAAACACTCTAGTATTGATTATCACAACTTGTACATAAGATTCTATGAAATCTGTATGACATGAATCTTTCATAACAGCACCGTATCAACTCAGAGCAGTGTGCTATCACAATAAGATTCTCAGTCCATACCACTCAATACTTCCTCAAGGGTCACAGCTGTCAATTGCATTTTACACATGACCAAAACTGAAAATATATGTTTTTGTGTAATTGAAGGTTTTTATGAAAAATCCCTTTGCTTTTTATCATTGATCTTAATACAAAGAGGTTTAGTTTAGAAAGCGAAAGAAAACCGTCTCACACAAAATAATAATAATAGTTTTCATTTTTTGATCACCAATTATCACCAAGTTCGAATTTTTCGAACCTAAATGTCTCTGTGCTGCATCAGAATGAAGACAAGAACATCAAAATTGGTGTGGGATAATCACTACCCAAAGGACATGGTATCACATATAATTGCACAAATTATTCTAAATGGCATTCTTATGTTGGAAATTAGTCAAGAATGAACAGTTCGGGGAACCATTTAGATGATTATTTACTATCCAACATGCTAAACACAGAAGCTATATATACTTGAACCTCCAAGAGAAATCTTTTCATATGGAACAACTGAGAAAGCAGATCTACATTAACTGTAGCTTCATCCATGAAATATTGTGTGCGTTTCACTGTGCCCATCTTTGATGGAAAAGAAATATTGGTTATACGGAGATGTGAATTGTTTAATTAAGCTTCATGATACTTATCGCCCAGTCCCGACTTGCAACTCGATTCCAGCGTACATTTGTGACGTCCCATGGGATCAGGCAATCAATGAGTGAGTTAAGGGGAAAACTCAACTGCGGCGCTGCAGAATGGTATTTCACCTTCCCATACACACACCACTAACTGGGATGATTTGCTCCAAGTATGACGGCTCAATTATTCTCTATGTGGGTATGGAATGGACTCAATAAAGAGAAAAATGATTGATAAGGATTGATGGAATCTTTGGACGGCCTTTCAAAGCTGCTGAAATCAAAATAGTGACCTTTTCCATGAACTGTATCCCGCAATGTGGCACTGAGAGATCCACAGTCAACACAATATGCCTTATCCTAAGATGTACAATGTCTTGATCACTTTCAACCTAAAATCCACGCATGACTACTGCACTGCTTCTAGAAACACAATATTAACGACACATCAAGCAAGAAACTACAACAAACAATCCTATCATATACTGCTCAAAGGAAGTTCAAGAGCCCCCGGTTCTTTCATATGACTGTAGACATGCCATGACAGATTAAATGAAGTATTATGAAAGATTCAGGGTTTCTTTAAATGCGTTTCAGCAATTTATTTCATTTTTAGAGAATATCACTTTTTTTTCCACATTGAGTTATTTTTAATTTTTTTAAATAACAGATGATTTTCTATATTTTTGCCTCTGGACAAATTATTTAATGCCCATTCTTCATAGAACATTATTATCTAGAATCGTAGTATCTAATGTTGAGCCAAAAATTGATATTTTTGCGATATGTGCAAACTGATTTCTGCTCGTTCTGAAAAGTCTGTGCTGATATGGCCATGTTGGTTTTTGCTAATTGAATCCCAGGCTGAGATAAAAGAGCTGCGTGTATTTCATGTCTTGGAGGGAGGAAAATGCCCGCACAGCGTGTCTTTGAACGTCGACTGTGTTCGAAACCAAGAGCCTACCACAAAGCTTGTAGTGTCTAAAAACTCACATTGCTTTGTTTCATGTATAATAGTCAAAAGCCTGCTGTGCCACTTTGAAATTTGGCTCAATAAAATTAATCCTTGCTTTGGCCAAATCAGGCAAATGACATTTGATTAAATCTAAGCATTAATATTTGATGAAATCGCACAACTGTAAATAGAAATGGACCCGTGCAATGCGTTACTGCCAGCATCGAACAACTGTTGTATCGTAGAATAAATATTTCAAAGCAGAAGATAATAAAGGCTGACTCGATACCAGGGAATACCTCACTACAGCCAGTAAATACGTAACAACTCCCCAACACCTGGTCGTAACAAGCTTCAACGTTCAACAGTTGAGTCGTTCTCACTACAGCCTTTTCATGAGTTGCAGTAGGTAGTCACTCTTCACTCAGTACGTTACCTCCACCCCTGAAGAGTCACTTAGGATATCATCATTGTGTGGAAAGATTTGAGATGTTTTATCTGTGAAACTGTAATTTGGGAGTGGGCCATGTTAACCAGAGAATTCAAATATTACAGTTCCCCTACATGGAATACTCGCTGAATAACAGCTGCAATCTGAAAACACATAATGTTTATTGACATTGTAAAATACAAAAGTTGTCAGCCAATTTCAGAATTAGTTTCCTGTACATTAACTGCAACAGTTATGAGACGGACATGACACCATGCTGTAACATTCCCTTGAAATATGATGACGTCATCATACAATAGAGAATTTCCCACCAGCACTGAATTCACTTAGTTGTCAGACTTTGGAAATAATAATATACCAAATTCAAGTTCTTATTATATATTTTGATTATGGTTTTGAAATGTGCCATATTAAAAAAGGTTAAAAAAATTAGTAAAAGTGGTATGCCAGGGTTCGAAATACCCCATATATTAGTGTGCCATGGCACGGTAAATACAGAAATGGCACGGCTAAAAAATGTTCTCAGTGCCCTTTTGACACGCCTAATTTTTTGAGAGACATAACTCACATTTAGTCATTTAATCCCCAAAACAATTATTTTTTCCAAATTGAATAATACCATACATATTTGAATGCTTATAAACCCATTTCTTTATTTAACAATAAATTTCAAATGATCATCATCATTGTCATTAATCTTCAAAAAACATGTGGGCATACTCAATTTCAGAAAGGCACACCTAAAATATTTGTCTGGTGCCCTAAGGCACACTTAGAAAAAAAAGTATTTCTATCCCTGTGTGCATTTCTCAAAGCCAAATGACTCATTTCTCCAGTTTCATACTGAAAAAAAACAAAAACAATAGATGCTTTTCTATAAAAGTATTCATACCCAGTTAAAAGTCCAAATGAATTTCAAGTTTCTGGTCCCATTTGGTAATGTTCTTAAACTCATAATATTACAGTGCATTTTACACTTTGTGATGTGTGTCACAAGCTATAATATCTGACTGCTCATTGTAAACACAAGACCTGGATCCAGCCCTAGGAATCGTTGATCCCCAAACAGAAATACAATAATACAAGTAGGGGAAGGTGCCCAAGCCTTTGATTACATTAAATCCCATATTTCTTTTGCCGACTAACAAGAGTGTATGGACAGTGGACGAAATAAGTAAACCCTCTCAGCTGCAGCAATATAGTAATGTAGGCTCTGGTTGCTAAATGTATCCCGGCAGACGATTGGTTTTCCTACTCACTGCGACCATCCAAACTCCTCCTTAGTTCCGATGCTTGGTTGAAAGCACAAGCTAGATATACCGTCACTGACTTTAATGTTGAACCATTAAAAGTTCAATAACATAAATAAAAGCAGTATAAATTGTAACATAAAAATGTTAACGTTCTTGTTAACAATGCAACAATGAGAAACTATTATCATTTGGCAAAACTGCCTACACAAACATAGAAATTAAATAGTCATTGCTACGAGGCTCTTTTTCACAGGAGTTTTGTCCAGAACCAGCGCATGTCTCTGCACCACAATTACAATTCAGGCATAGCTATGTCCTTATTCATTATAAACTCTGTCACCAAAACTTTTGTCCAAACAGAAAAGAGGTACAAACTTTAACTGACAAACCAAAGGGATGTGTTTAATGTAAGTAATGACGCCAGCTGTTCATTAAACCAGCTTTACCAGTGAGAAAAAAAACAATATAATTCAAAGATAAATTTATTTCAGTGAAAATTTGACTGACGGCTCTACTTCTCTTGAAACAGAGGATGGTTTCACAAAGACACAAAAGAAATTTGAAGAATGAATTCAAGAACCAGCACAAATCAGTTAGATGTAACAGTTACAACAGCAGGTGCTTGCTATCTCCTAGTAGCTGGGGCAAACTATACAAGTAACACTGAGTTTCCATTGTGGGAGGTGGGGGCCAGCAAAGATGTACCCATGTCCTGAATCTATCATCAGTGACAAGCTAATACGTATCTAAATACAGTTTTTAACCAAATGGAGATAATCTGTGAGCACTTTGGGCACTTTCTATCATAACCCGAGACTGGTCATAATGGAGAGAAAAAGGTATAGACATAACATATGGCCTCCACTGACATGACATAACAAGTTCTGTGATGTTTCAAATCAATAATATAACCATGCTGTAAACAGGACATATAAGTTGCACTGTCTGGACATAATGTGATGTGTCAGCAGATATAGATGATACATGGGCTGTCATTAATAGTCTCATGGTGCTATCAAATGATAAAGCTGCTCTCTGAGTGAACCATACCATGAACATTTATTGAGAGTACTGTCACCATCAGGAGTAAGTAGATTTTTTAATGTTTTAAATACATTTAAAATTTTGATTTACTTCATTTTACTACTCAATTTTGGTCCTCATACACATCAAAAATGTTTCTCTTGTATAAAATTCAGAAAAAACACATTTTGATGCTGAAAAGTATTATAATTGATTCATAGTTACAGGTATGTATTCCACGCCAGGACTGTGTTTGAAAAACATTCATATAACACAACTCAAGATGTTTATCTTTATCAAGGCAAAATAAACAATTTTACCTTATTTCTCCACTATTATCGACACTCATAGTTTAGTGTTAATTACCAATAAGATAATTTGTGTCACTTCTTTAAGCAACGCATGTAATCTGGAATGTACAGCTGAAAAAATATATGTATACTTGAGCCAATGTCGCTAGATCTGCTAACTATACACTGGCAACTGGTTATGTGAAAAACATGTGTGTTTAATACAAATAATATAAACATATCAATTAAAAAACAAAACCACATACCTTAAATCCATTTTGTCTTCATCAAGGCACTGAAAATAAAAAATACAATATACTTGTGTGAAAGGTCAAAACACAGATAAATACGGATCAATTTCTTTACAAATAAACTCACATGCGGCAAATGATGACAAACAGGATATGACGGCGTTTGGCAGTAGTCATACTGCACAAACATTAGATTTTGTCTCTCCATATTCAAATGCCAAATAGTCAACTATTCCACAGAAATGTTTTCGGAAAATATCAGCGCAAGAAATCTCCCATCATTCCAAAATCCTTGTCCTGAATAAAATTTGTGGAGTGAAGTCCCAATTTTATATGAAACACCTGCAAGAGACGAAATTTTGTTATGGAGTCTTTAGCTTGATCAAACAGTTATAATCTGACCAAATTTGTTTTGTTCCGTAACTCTCCATTAATGAATGTTTGTTCAAGTCCCATCGAAATTAGCCCAATTTGAAAGTCAGTATCTTAAAAGGCGACATAGGGGTGATGATTTTTATGTAGAAAATCAGTCACGGAAATGGTCTCCAAAAGCTGCATTAGAGTGCATTTAGAATCACAATTAGCCTTAAAATAGTGTTTAACAACTGCGCAAATATTTTAAAGCTCTGCGTTCAATACATTAAGTTCTGCGAGGAGAAACATCAATTTAACTCCTTCGCTGAACATAGAAATTTAGGCTCATCCCATACAAACTCTTCCTTTTATGACGTTCATTTGGAAAGCATTACTAAGGCAGGAGAGGATTTGAAGTCTAATAACCGCAGCTCGGGAGCACATTCTATGACGGACTAGAGACTGGTGTGGCCTCTGACTTGAGTTCGTACCAATTTCCGATCAGGAACTTCAGTTCTTTTCCTACTTGGGAACCCAGACCTTTTTCCAAAGTAAACTTTGGCTAAGAGGTACATTTTCATAAAGTCTGTTTTCAATACCGGCCTACTCTTCTACAAGAGAGGAAGAAAAAAACATTATGACTCTAGTCTAATTCTCCGAAGATTACAGGCGAATTCTAAACTCTGTAATTGCCGTTTTCTCCCACAGTCCCGTTGAGCTAACACTTTCAAATCTCTTGTTCATATGGAACCTCTTTCAAACTTGCCCATAAAACATGTCAGAGGCACAACACGACATTATAATTGCCATATGACATATTTCTCGTCAGTTTCCGGCTCTACAATCCTTAATCATATGGACTTGTTCTTGAGATTTCAAATTAGTTGCTAAATCCCAAGGCAATCTCGGGCAACATAGTGAAGGAAGCCTGTTAAAGATGTAATTATAAGTTGTGCAGAGTTTAACAAATGTCAATATTTACTCCAAGTGTGGACCTTTCAATACTTAAATACTCGTCAACGTTTATTGTGTGACAATTAGTCATTGGATGGAGGGAAATGGCCGTTTTATATCATCCTTGTCCATCATGAACATCATTTTGTTCAATTAAGATGAAAAAGCTTATGGAGAACCAGTGAGAAACTTTCTCTTTATGTACTTTAAAATCAGGGGCATCGATTCATTCACCCACTCTACTTTAGCTAACAGTTGTGTTCTAAACTGTAAAGGAAATAATAAATATAAAATATCACCAGCAGAGGGATAATTACATGATTCTCACACCATACACTGAACTTTCATATAGTTACCTGTTATGATGAATATTTTTCACTTATATTATTATTAACAGCCATATCAACAAATATTATGCATGTCATAATCTCTCAAGTACATATTTCTTTCAAATAATTTCAATACTTTTCAAATGCCTCAAACATTAACAAAACTGTCAGATCAAATAATACTGCATATGGGAATAGTTGAAAAGGAAAGTAATATTTCAGGAGAGAGAGATGGTGTTTTAAATGATTACAATGAGGCCACTGTTAATGACTTATCTCCCTTTGATCAACAACACAGTCAGCCATTTTGAAAAATGACAGTATGAACTTGGATGCTAGTATGAACATGGTCAACAAACTATTTTCCTGGTATGATTAAATATTATTGATTCATTCTCAACTATATATAAATTCTGAAAACTACAGTTATATCTAGGTACATAGGCCTATTTTAGAACTTCCCTGTTGCGGGTTTGGAGGAAGCTGTATACACTCTTAGTCCATTATTCACAGTGTTACAATATTCTATCAAAAAGTAAGTGTTGGATTGTGTTTTTTATTTCACTTTATGCAATGACTGACTGACTGACTGACTGAGTTTGGTTTTACGATTAGCAATATTCCAGCAATATCACAGGCCTGGGCTAACACATTGTGCCCATGTGGGGAATCCTGTCTGTACATCCAACGCTTTAACCACTGGCTACCCCAAACTGAGCTCTTGATGGGTGAGTAGCAGAGCAGGCCTTATTCAGAGCCTGTCTGTACATCCTAAAGTGGAAAACTGGTCATCGCCATAACAGGCCTACCAAAGAAAACTTTCCCACTGTGCAGAAAAAGGCTGAAAAGTACACATTAATCGTGGAAATAGCAACACAAACATAATACCTCGCTACTGAAACAGTAAAAATGGCAACTTTAAATTGCTAAAACTGGATAAAAAAACAAACAGCCTGCAACTTCGATTTTGCGCATGCACACATGGAAGAGGAAGTCTAGACCGCATGTTGACATTTTCCAGCTTGGACAATAGTTACATTCCCTGTTTGAAGTATTTCTGTTGTGTTACTTGGCATTTATCATCATGATATTTGTGTGCACACTTGTTTAGTTTACTTTCCATTCGTATGATATGATTGACAGCAACTATTTCGACATATTCAATACCTTTTCTACGCGAAGCGATTCGCCGTTGCTCACAAATTTTAAAGAAGCTCAGATTGTAACGCACATGCGCAGTAGAGGTCAAAGTTTGCTGATATAAAAATGTTGCAGTTTCATAGTCTTTTGTTGCCGTTTTTACTGTTTTAGTAGCGAGGTATTATGTTTATGTTGCTATTTCCACGATTAATGTGGGCTTTTCTGCGTTTTTCTGCACAGTGAGAAAGTTTTCTTTGGTAGGCCTGCATAACAATCACTGTTATACATTGCTTTTCCTGCAAGGACTGCATTGGATATTTATTGCCACTTGATGTACTGTAATTTTATGGCATTCTAATTTTCTTAACGTCTAATTCGACAATCAAAAATATTTCCTGTTGTGTCACTTTCATATTTTGAGTAGATCACGCAATATAGGTAAAATATCCTCATGGAAACGAATAGAGGAACACTTGAAAGTACAAGTGTTCCTTTATTTATTTCCAGATTTTTACCCACAGTGCAATATAAAGCATGACAAGAAACCCGGAAAAGAGTATAGGAACACTTGCACTTTTGTGTGTTCCTTTATTTGTTTCTATGAGTATATAATGATCAATCCACATATATGCATTTCAATGAAATTTTAAAATGGTAGCAAAGCATGAAATACTGAGAATAGTGAAATACAATCAATGTAACCTGGCACGATGAAGATACAGCTCATCACATATAGAAATATGAAGTCTCAGATGACGGAGCACCTGTGTCACATGTACTTCAGCCAACAAGTACAACAATCCTGCTTATGACAAATCAATAGCCAGTGTCGTCTCACCTCACAGCTGAGTGCCGTGCAATTAAATATGACAGTTAAGTAAATAAAGAATTTGTATCAAATGTTTCCATTTGAAATCACTTATGATAACTGACACCATATGAACACAAGCAACTGTGATACAAGACTTCGACATTACCGCACAGAGGACCACCAGAGGATAAGGCAAAGCTCTTTATAAAGTGCTGACAATTTTGGAAGCAAAATTTTATAGCATCATTACATGAATATCGAATTTTTGTGGAGCTGATATGATTCAATGGGAAAGTTTTTCTTTACTCAAAGTTTGCTGCAACCTCAAAATGAGGCCAGTCACTGAAACTGGTCACATCGATAAATCTCAATCTTAAAATTTGTCAAACACCTGAGAACATGAGAACACCTGCCCAACATTTTCATCATTGTGTTATGAAAACAAGCATATGGCTGAAGGAACTATTCAACTGTGTGTACTAGGTGAGTTGTCTATGAAAACAAGCATATGAAGAATGAGGACTATTTTTATGGATATACAACTTCTTTATTCTAGATAGGCCACGTTTCGACATAGATTCTAATGTCGTCAAGCAAGTCACAATTTGACAACGACATTAAAATCTATGTCGAAACGTCGCCTATATAGAATAAAGAAGTTGTATATCCACAAAAATAGTCCTCATTCTTTATCTACTCAACTTCTAGAATGCCAATCAAAGAAGAAACAAGCATATGTTTGAAGGAACTATTCCATCTTGCCAGGAGACACTAGAAATGGGCTTCACACATTGTACCCATGTGGGGAATCAAACCCAGGCCTTTGGTTTGACAGGAAACCCTTTAACCACTGGGCTGCCCCATGACACTTTAAAGAGTGAGTGATTTTCAGCATCACACACAGCAACACCTCACCATCAGTGTAGAGGCAGTTGTGACAACATGACAGTTCACAAAGAGCATTCAAGACATTTATAGCTGAAATCGTAAAGAACATATAGACATGTTTCTCGTAACTTTATTGGAGTCAAAATCAAGGTCTGTTTGCCTGGTGCGTTCTCTTCAACCTTCTGCAGGAGTTGCCTGAGGTTTGGCATCATCACCATGACAAAATGTGGACCTGACATTATACAGTACTACGATGGGTGAACACTTCACAAACTTGGTTATCCTTCCAATCTAAAGCTGCTGTCTATGAAGTGAAACACATATTTGAAATCTTGCAAAAACCAATGGTTTAGACCGAATAATACCAAACAGTTATAGTAAGGCTCTTTATCTAAACTCGGGGATCTTGATTTATCAATGACTTTATATACTAACATATACTCCATTATGGGTCTTTGGGAAGCCTGCAGGATCAAGTGTCTAAGTATTATACTGTGGGTCTGGGTTTAATTCCAACTTTGTCCAGAGAGTGAACTCCTAATGTGACAACAGCACCATGATACCATTC